CACATTATTATTTTGATCTGTATGTGTCATAACACTATAAATAATTGTTAATTCATCTGTATAATGATGTCACACTTGTAACAAAGCGGATATTCGTACAATACAATAATTTATTGTCATATCATATCCATGACAAGGTAAATATTTGCATGTCATCATAACTTTGTTGCGATTAATGTGTCTTCTGTGATTTGCTATGGAGAATTTATTATAGATATATAATTAATCAATCAAAATTTATTGTCTTTATTAAATATTTAAATACAATCCTAAAGAATCGTGAAGACTTACTGTGAATCAATATTGGCCATGGTTTCATCGAGAACGAACAAGCGATTGTTTCTCAAGATTGCTCTGGCCAGTCATATGAATTGCTTCTGACCGACGCCAGAGAAGATATCGTGGTCTAGTGTGACATCACTCAGCTCGACTTGTCGCAACACTTCCCACAGCTTCAAGTCATCATACTGATTAAACGGATCCAGATTGTAACGCAGACTCTCGGAAAAGAGCACAGGTTCCTGTAGTATAATGGAGATTTTGCAGCTCAGTTCATTGAGGCCCATCGTGCTTATCTCCCGATCATCGATCTTGATCTCGCCTTCTAGACTTTCATTGAACAAAGTGGCAATATGCCGAGATCAAAATATAAAACAAAATATAAAACAAAATATTTAACAAATCAATAAAATTAACTTAATCTTTTTCATTTCTGTAGTCACTTTAAGAGCAAAATTTGTAATATATATTTTTATATTTTAACATTTTTCATTTAAATATTATAATTATTAATAATCTACAAATTGATATTATTATATTTTTCATCAGGTATAATGGTGCTGTTCTTTTTGTAAATGTATATTTGCAGGTAAAATGTTGTATGGTCGATTATTCACAAATAATTTCCTGTCTTTAAAATTTGGAAATCTGTTCTAATTTAAAACCATTTAAGTTTCAATTTTTGTAGCAAAATCGAAATATTTGTTTTTGTAATATTTATGTTGTAATATGCAATATTGTTTGTATTTGTTATATTAATTTCAAAAATATGACAAATAAATATTTGGCCATCTTTCTCAATATAGGTATGACCTTCAATGTCTATCAATATCACGTTTGCTAGTACAATATTTATCACGGAATAACATGTCTTTTGAATGATCTTATTTCTTTTAAAATATAGCAGCCCGATAAAAAATTTTTTATACATAATTATGCATAAACGGTTGTACACAATTTATAACCGTTACAAATAAACTACGTATAAATTAGTCATGTATAACCGTTTATGTATAATTATGTACAAGAATTTTTTTACTGAGCTGCTATATTTTAAAGGAGATAAGATCATTCGAAAGACACGTCATTCCGCGATGAATACCAGCAAACGTGTCATTGATAGTCATTGAAAGTCATGCCTATAATGAGGGAGATATTAGGATAAAGTAATGATACATTCATTTCTGGAAAATGCAGATGCAAGCAATATTGGTGAAAAACAACGCAAATATGGAAATATGTGAATGGAACAGACGTGAAAACAGAACTAGTTGCCGACGACGATGGGATATCTGCCCAAGCTCGTCATATGCAATCCTAATAACGGTGCATTCTTTAAAACTGCTCCTTATTATATTCTGAATTAAAGCATCCGTGCTGGAAATTGAATTTTAAATTGTGGGAAATGCAAATTTATAAACATGTAAAATTTAAATCTCTCTCTCTCTCTCCCTCTCTCTCTCTCTCTTTCTCTCTGTGTTGCAAATTACAGATACAAAATATGTACTATTTTGATGGAAATATTTACCAATTCGATTTGAAAAGATTTGATTTCTATTAATCTTGAATTTATTATAAAACGAATGTTTATCGTACCCTTGTAACATATTGTGAAAATACTTTATATCATTCGCAATCATTCGCAAAAGTAGCAACTTAATAATAGAAAGTTTGAATTATTTACATATGGTAATTTATTGCTATATTTCATACCAAATGTCACATTCATATTATAATAAACTCTCAATAGTCATCATAACTTGTGTGATGTTACTATAAAATCATTAAAGGCTACATCACATTATTATTTTGATCTGTATGTGTCATAACACTATAAATAATTGTTAATTCATCTGTATAATGATGTCACACTTGTAACAAAGCGGATATTCGTACAATACAATAATTTATTGTCATATCATATCCATGACAAGGTAAATATTTGCATGTCATCATAACTTTGTTGCGATTAATGTGTCTTCTGTGATTTGCTATGGAGAATTTATTATAGATATATAATTAATCAATCAAAATTTATTGTCTTTATTAAATATTTAAATACAATCCTAAAGAATCGTGAAGACTTACTGTGAATCAATATTGGCCATGGTTTCATCGAGAACGAACAAGCGATTGTTTCTCAAGATTGCTCTGGCCAGTCATATGAATTGCTTCTGACCGACGCCAGAGAAGATATCGTGGTCTAGTGTGACATCACTCAGCTCGACTTGTCGCAACACTTCCCACAGCTTCAAGTCATCATACTGATTAAACGGATCCAGATTGTAACGCAGACTCTCGGAAAAGAGCACAGGTTCCTGTAGTATAATGGAGATTTTGCAGCTCAGTTCATTGAGGCCCATCGTGCTTATCTCCCGATCATCGATCTTGATCTCGCCTTCTAGACTTTCATTGAACAAAGTGGCAATATGCCGAGATCAAAATATAAAACAAAATATAAAACAAAATATTTAACAAATCAATAAAATTAACTTAATCTTTTTCATTTCTGTAGTCACTTTAAGAGCAAAATTTGTAATATATATTTTTATATTTTAACATTTTTCATTTAAAGATTAGAATTATTAATAATCTACAAATTGATATTATTATATTTTTCATCAGGTATAATGGTGCTGTTCTTTTTGTAAATGTATATTTGCAGGTAAAATGTTGTATGGTCGATTATTCACAAATAATTTCCTGTCTTTAAAATTTGGAAATCTGTTCTAATTTAAAACCTTTTAAGTTTCAATTTTTGTAGCAAAATCGAAATATTGTTTTTGTAATATTTATGTTGTAATATGCAATATTGTTTGTATTTGATATAATAATCTCAAAAATATGACAAATGTATATTTGGCCATCTTTCTCAATATAGGTATGACCTTCAATGTCTACCAATAACATGTTTGCTAGTACAATATTTATCGGAATAACATGTCTTTTGAGTGATCTTATTTATTGAGAAATCGTTTTAACGATACGCTATCGCTGACCACAGATGGCGCTTCTACCACCGGGACGTTCATCTTTTGCATGCATGATAAAACAATAACAGTTCGAGTCTTCCCTGCGTCGCGATCCCTCCTCAACAGGTTATGGGCCCAGGCAACGATTCGCAATAAGTGTTCGTATTAAAGTGAAAAAGTGAGTGAGATTCTCAGTGATCAAGTGCATCAAAGAAAACGACACTCACAATGAATGTGTCCGCTGAAACGAATGAACGCTGAATGAATGAGCCGTATTGAAACGCTCAATAAAGACAATTACGACACCTGGAAAATGCAGATGCAAGCAATATTGGTGAAAAACAACGCAAATATGGAAATATGTGAATGGAACAGACGTGAAAACAGAACTAGTTGCCGACGACGATGGGATATCTGCCCAAGCTCGTGCGGAATGGGACGACAACGATAGTAAGGCAATGTCAGATCTCATCCTTTCAATTCACCCGAGCGAATTGAAGCAGATCAAAGGCTGCACATCATCTCGAGAAATTTGGCTGAGATTGGAAGGGATATATCAATCCAAGGGTCCTGCCCGAAAAGCAACGCTGCTGAAACGTCTCGCATTACAAAAAATGGCGGACGGGGAAGACGTGCGCGAACATATTCGTACATTCTTCGACGCAGTGGATAAACTGACCGAAATGGAAGTGATCATAAATCCCGA